CTTCTCGCTCTTCCTGGCCATCTACCTGGCTGCCCTCCTGGCCAACGGCCTCATCATCACAGCCGTAGCCTGCGACCACCGCCTCCACACCCCCATGTACTTCTTCCTCCTCAACCTCTCCCTCCTTGACCTTGGCTGCATCTCCACCACTCTCCCCAAATCCATGGCCAATTCCCTATGGGACACCAGGGCCATTTCCTACTTGGGATGTGTTGGACAGGTCTTAAGTCTTGCTATTTTCATGTCAGCTGAGTATTCTGTCCTCACAGTCATGGCCTATGACCGCTACGTTGCCATTTGCAGACCCCTGCACTATGGAACCCTCCTGGGCAGCAGAGCTTGTGTCAGAATGGGAGCGGCTGCCTGGATCAGCAGTTTTCCCAATGCTCTCTTGCACACTGGGAACACATTTTCCATTCCACTCTGCCAAGGCAATGTGGTGGAGCAGTTCTTCTGTGAGATCCCCCAGATCCTCAAGCTCTCCTGCTCACACTCCTACCTCAGGGAGGTCGGGGTTACTGTGGTTACTGCTTGTTTAGTCTTTGGTTGTTTCATTTTCATTGTGATGTCCTATGTGCAGATTTTCAGAGCTGTGCTGAGGATCCCCTCAGAGCAGGGCCGGCACAAAGCCTTTTACGTATGTCTCCCGCACCTGGCCGTGGTCTCCCTCTTTGTCAGCACCACAATGTTTGCCTACCTGAAGCCTCCGTCTGTCTCCTCCCCAGCTCTGGATCTTGTAGTGACTCTTCTGTACTCAGTGGTGCCTGCAGTATGGAACCCCCTCATCTACAGCATGAGGAATAAGGAGCTCCAGAATGCCCTGAAGAAATTGATCCAACAGATTCAAGGTCATTGACAATAAATGTCCCATGCTCATTCACTCACCAGGATGTCAGGCATCAAGGATGTTGTTTTGCATTTATTTCCTTCTTACTTTTCTCTTTTACATCCATCTCCAACAAATACAATAAGTAAATAAAAAAGAATATCCAATTTATGTTATGTCTCCTCAGGGATCTCTCATTTCAATCTGACCCAGATATCACGTTGAAGCAGGAAGCCTGGCTTCCTTCTCTTCTTCAGCAGAGATGGGGGAACCTCAGAGCCCCGTGGTCTGAGCTCCCTCGGATGCTCTCAGTGCAGTGAGGAGAGTTTCCCTTGCTGTGTCTCTTCCAGGGTGCTCCTGACACCAAGGGTGCTCAGGGGCACAGAGTCAGGCTCAGACAAATACAGATGGGGTGAGACTCCGGCTCAGCTCCCCTGGCTGCAGTCAGGGTGTCATCTCCCACTCCTCTTCTGCAAGAGTGACAACCAGGTGTCACGGTTGGGCTGATCCCTTCCCTCTATAGAGTTCCACTACTACTATGGGGGGACAGTGGAGGGGAGGGGACTCAGGCAGCAGCTTGAGGGGACAGAACCATGCTTTACAGTACAATTATCTACACATTGCCACAGCAGGCATTTCCTCACCGCAGCCTTCCCATGGGAGCTGCAGCTTTCCTGAAGTCACATCCCAGCAGAGCGGCAGGACTTTCTCTTTTTAGAGTTGTTCTCTTCATTTTCATGCTGTGTTTCTGTGCTCCAGATGTTCTGTGCTCCAGATGTTCTTCTAACCTGGTGGTGGTAGGGTTGTGTCTGGAGCAGAATCCACATCATGTACAATGACCTTAGGTTTTTTAATATATTTCTCTCTGCTGTTCCCTTCAAAGGGAGTAGCTTAAAGAAATTGCCAGCTGAGTTGTTTTTCATCAATCAGGTTTTATGATTCTCTACAACTCATTCTAATTTTCCTAATGTTCACCCAGTGTGGAGTGTTCTGCAGGATCATCTCACATCTTGTTGCTGCTTTCCCACCACTCTGCAGTGTGGAGGAGTCTCAGACCATAGACACCTCTGACGGCTGCCGATAGGTGGGATGCACTAGTACGTCCTGCTGCCATCACCACTGTGCTGCCATCCAGTCTCGCTCTTGACTGCCCATTTGTGATCACAGCTCAAAGCGTTGAACACATTTCTCTAAATCAGAAATGCTGTGTAATGTCCAATATCTCCAAACTTTTCTGTTAAACAGGGCACTCCATGGGTGTGGAATATCTAAAAGAACCTGGTCAGTGAGTACTGGACTCTGACAATGCCTGTGCGTCAAGTGTGGGAGTGCATGAAGGTGCGCTTTTGTAGAGAGCCTAGGAATCCCCCAGAACAGGCCTGGTCCCACCCAGCTCTTCCCACAGTGAGGAGGGAGCACGAGGGAGCAGGGATCAGCTGCAGGTTGCTGGTCAGGACTGCCGCAGGTGAACCCGAAAGCCCCCTACTGTCCCCACA